CGCAGCGCAAGGCAACGCGCGGCGTGTAGACACGGCTCGCTCGGAGGCTCTTAAATCAGATTAGAGCTCGTTAATAACAATTTTGGCTTAAGTCTGTATTGACTTAGGTTTAGGAATGGCTTAGCACTTTCGCTTAAGTCAACACCAGGGCTAAATTGACACATGCCTTTCCCAAACCGCCGTGTCCCCCAGGACGCCCAGGTGCCCGTAGGACTTGTCCTTCTGCCTCTTTAAGCCCTTTTACGGAAGTATTTGCATGATTTTTAAGTAAGCCTACCCGGCCTCGACGGCAGCCATCCACTCCTGCGTGCCATCCACGAGGGTCCCCTCCAGGGACGGGTTTCACGGGCCTCACCCTCCTAGGCTGCGATCAAGGCACTTGTGTTCTTTTAGGTTCCTGCTGCCAGCCCTTGTGCTCCTTCCCCAGCCCTCATGGTGTGGCTCCTGCTCACTCCCCCAACACCTCCTCAAGTCCCCTCTAACTCCTTCAAATTTATACCCTGGGTACCCCCAGACAGCCGGGGCTGCATCACCATCCACAGCCGAGTTCTGGAGAGACTGAGGCTCCAGGGGCAGTGCCCGGCACCCGAGGGAAAAGCCGGCACGGCTTTCCCTCCAGCCGGGACCGACAGCGGCCACAGCGAGGGCGACAGGCTCCCTGCCCGGCTACCTTAGACCCATTGAGAACCTCATGCAGATGGGGCGGGTGTCGCCTCTGGGGCTGGGCAGGCACAGGGGGCCACCAGCAGGGAAAGACACCCATCCCTTGGGCTGCCATCCTGGAGCGGTTACCGCGGTCACCCCACGGCCGGCCAGTCACCCCATGGCCATCCTCTCCTGAGGGTTCCTGCACTCAGACCCCACACCACGGCCAGCGTTGCCCTAACCAGTCACCCTCCCACCTCCCCACCTTCTCAGCAGCCCTGTCACAGGTACGGCGCTGTGCTGACCGACACCGTCACTGTCACCATAGCACCGCAGAGAAGACACGTGAGGGGGAAATTCCCTTACTAGCTGTTTTCCACCAGACACCCTGATTCTCCAAATGATACTGCCCCAGCTTTTAACCCCACCCCCAACCTACTCTTATTGCTAACCCTGCCTAGCTCAAAGCCGTAGCCTCGTGTTATTTGTATTTATCTCATTGATTTACTGCAATTGCTTAATTGATTGAATTACGGGCAACACGTGCCCTCAATTAAAAATTAAAAAAAAAAAAAAAAAGAAAAAGGAAAAGGGTACATTTAGACTTCTGTGCTCTCTGTTTCATGGGCTGCTTCTCCTCATAAGGTGTTGAAGCTGCAGCTGGGCCGTGTGACTCAGCCCTCAGGGAGCCTCGGGTGTGTTCCCCAGGACCACAAGCAGCTGTTCAATGCGGGTGCCTCAAGTCACCAGTGATTTCAAACTCTGCTTTAAAGTGATTCCGGTAAGAGCGTGTTTAGTCACCAAAACACCTTTTTTGCACCTTTTTTGTCTCAAATGGGGACAAAATGCTGTCAGATACAGATCGCAGAAAAAGTCTGCTCCCAGAATTGTGGGTGTATAAGCCCGAAACAACACATAACTTGACTTCTACAAATATTTGCATCTTTGCCGTCCCCTACGTTGGCAGAAGAAGCAGGCTGATAACAAACTTTAAAACAGATCTGATCCGAGGGCAGAAGTACTCCCAGCCGATGGGACAAGGAGTGGGGACCGCTCTGGACCCACTTTTCTCTCCCGGCTCCTCGCCGAGCCTCTCAGAGCATCCCCGGCCCCTTGCGGGCCGCCCCAGCCCGCGGNCAAGCCGCAGATCGCGGGGGAGGGGCGGCTCTGTCAGACACACACACGCCAGAGACTCCAATTATCTTCTCCCTCACAAGATGTTTCTGCTGTCCACGACTGCTCACACTTCGGCACTCTTGCCAGCAAGCCTCAATAACACAAAACCCGCACAAAAACCCCTTTTCCCGGCGCCGCAGCCGCGCGCACAACAGATTGAGCGGTGCCGGTGCCTCGGGGGGAGGGTTAGAGGTGCCTCTGAGCGGAGAGCGACGTGCCAGCGCCTCCGTGCTTCCCCCTCGGCCCGGCCGGCCCGGCCCGGCGCTGCCCCGGCACCGGGCGGCTCCCAGGTGCGTCCCGGCACCGCGCCGGGCACCGGGAAGCGACCAAACCTACAGGCAGCTGCGTTGCCCTTTTCCCTGCACTCCGCTCTCCAAACGTCTGAGCAACCAGTTTGCTGCTAGAAACATGTTAATTGCCAACGGAGCTCATTAAGGCATGCACATGCAAAACACAGCGAGGGAGATTAAATGGACAAAAGCGCAATAATGAACTGTCAAAAATCGGACCCATCTACACGACCAGGAGCACTCAAGAATGAGGCATTTAGAGGCAACAAAGGATTGTCTGGGACAGGAAGAAAGGACGACCTAGACTTTTGTTTAGTCAACACAATTGATTACAAATGAGAGATTAACAGGATAGCTTCAGAGTTTTTTTGAAGGAGGCAGAAGAGAAAAGTCCAATTAAGTGCACCGAATGTTAACTACATTGATTTCCACGGCCAGCGCTGGAGAAATTCTCATTAAACCATCCCTGGCGATCCCTTTTGGAAAGTAATTTGTCTCCCTGATGGAGCAGAGAAAGGGAGCCATGTAAAGAGAAAGAAGCGCTAGTTCTTGGCACAATGAGCTTAGGAGACACACTGGAAAGAGCCAAAGGGGGAGTTAATGAGCATCTGACAAGCCGCTTGGACCCGGGCCTGGAGAGCAGCGATGAAAAGATGGAATTGGCCAACAACTATTCTTTATATCAAACATAAAAAGGCCAATCTGAAACAGCGCTGCTCAAAGCTGGTGGGGAAGAAAAGAAAGGCCCCCAGTGAGGGGTGGAGTGGAGGGCTCAACTGCCCCATTGGGACAGGGGAAGAAATGCACTGGCATGTCCCTCTCGGAGCGAGCGGAGCCGCTGGC